AAGCGCAGTATCTTTCTCTGAAAATAACTCGAAAGCATATTTCCTAGAAAAAACTTCTCAAATTCCCATAATTATGATCATATAAAGTCAAGTTTTTCTAAGTATTTGATACAACCTCTAGACCAACTTCTAATTAGACACAACATTCTTTTACAACGAACTTCATTGGCGACTTTAGCTTGATGAATTGGAATCACATCAGGTATGCATAAGTGTTTCGAAATTAGAGAGGAGAAACTTAAAGAATATTTAGGATTTTTTTTTTCTATATTATTTAGCATATTGGTTTGATCACATATGTTAAGGGTTGCAGAGATGAGGATGCTCAGGTTGATGAGTAGCTTTATTCTTAGAGATAGGATACAAAATGAGCATATACATGAAATGGTTGGAGTAGCTCCGATAAGATTAGATAGAGTCGCCGTATATGGTTTGGTCACATAAAATGGCGGTCTTCCGATGACCCAGTTAGGAAAGTAGATGTATTAGATTTAACTTATGTTAAGAAAGGTAGAGATTGATCTAAAAAGACTTGGTTATAAAATATTAGACATGATTTTTTTTATTAGATTTAAACAAGAATTTGACTTTTAATAAGACGCAATAGAGAAAAAAGATTCATGTAGCCGACCGAACATAGTGGGACAAAGACTTGATGTTGTTGTTGTTGTTGCAGCATTGGTTTGATGTATTTTTTCACTTTTTTTTTTTACAAATCAATCTATTTGTAAGCAAGGGCGGATCTGCTAAGAGCCTAGGGGGGGCAATTGCCCCCCTCAAAACATTTTATTGTAGGATTTTTTAGGTAATTTATGCCCCGCTATCTATTTTTTAGTCGTTATTACAAGGGTTTTTAGGCAATTGCCCCCCCTAAAAGTTTTGATCAACATCACCACATAAATCAATTCATTTAACATTCAATAAAAATAAAATTAATATATTTTAAATATACCGAAAATTTTTATTTTAGATAAAAATATAAAAAATTAAAAATTAAAAAAAGAAAACAAAAATTATCTAGAATAAAGAGGTTTATTGATAAAATTTATAATATATATATTAAAATCATTTTAAACTGTACTTAGTAAATCAGCACAACATCAACTCACCATGTTTTCAATGGCTTCTTTGTTATTGCAACGCCTATATATTCATAATCTCTCTCTATACATTATAAATTTATATCATATTTTATTTTCTATTTCTTAAAAACATTTTGATCTCGTAGTTGAATAACCTTGGTTGAAGAGTAGAGGGCTTCAATAATGTTCTACAAGTACAGGAAATTGTAATAACACAGAATTATAACTGCTACAAAAACTCCTAAAAACAATTCAACAGTTTTAATAAGTTCCAAGCATAGGGTTGCAAGCAAATGTAAAACAACATAAAGCCTTTATTCCCACTACATTGGGTCAGCTAGGGGTGTGAGCCGAGCCGGCTCAATTTCAATTTGCTAATGAGCTCGTAAGTCGAGTTTATCAAGTTTCAATTTTGAGCTTGAGTCTATAATCGAACTCGTTTACTAAACAAGCTCAAGTTCGAGTTCAATCTGACTCGACTCATTAACTCATCAAGCAACTCGATTTTAAAATATATATTAAAAAATGTTTAATATACCCTTTTCTTAATTCTTAATATAATAAAATTTTGAGCTTAATAAACGAGTCAAATTCAAGCTCAATAAAGGACCTCAAGTTCAAGCTTAGTATGAGCTAAACTAACTGAGCTTGATAGTGTCAATAATCTACTCAGACTTATTTACACCCATAGGGTCAACTACCTTAATCATTTATCTTCATTATGTCTTATTAAGAGTCAAATTATCTTTTAAATCTAATAAAAAACCATATTTAATATTTCTAACCCAATCTTTTTAAGCCTACGGCCTACCTTTATCTTTCTTAACATAGACTAAATCTAATTCATCTACTCTCCTAATTAAGTCGTCAGAAGGCCATCAGAAAAGCTTGTGCTACTCAGAAATTCAACACAAGAAGACATACAATGATAAAAACATAGAGAAGCAAACAAAAATCTTGCCAGTTAGATGTAATAGAACATCCAGAATCAATATAAGAACTGAAAAGGGAATAAGCATACATCACCCTTTCAGAAACAACTTCTGTCCTGAATTCGATTTCCCCTACCATTATCTTCAAACTTGGAGCTCAAAAATCCATTGCCTATGCAGATAGAATCAATTTGTTTGCGTTAATATCTATAGTTTATGTTCTGCAAGCACATAAATCAACATTTCCTTATTAAAAAGCAAGCTGCAACATAAATCTTGCGAAAGTCTAAAAATAATAACAAAAAGATTCAATGTAAGAGCAGTTTGATGGTGTTTTCCATATATGTTAGTTCAATTATATGATGGTAAATGAAACCTGTAAGAAATAATCATGTTGAGTGACCAAACATGCAGAAACACATACACTTAAATGTTTTTTTTTTTTTTTTTTTTGTCCTTTTATTGAGAATAAAAAGATGCATATGGCTAAACAGTCCTTAAAAGGTCTGGAATGGCAGAATATAAAAGCAAACATAGCCCCAACTGTACTCAACCAGTCCTCTGCTACAGTGTATAACTCTTAGCACTGACTGCAACATCATTCGGCCACTCCTGCCACGAAAAAAGTCATCCCCTTTTTGCCTCATCCCCTTTGGGCCCAGAAATTATTCTGTGCGGATACCAGACCATCCAAAGATGAATCAGAACGTGCCACATCACCCAGTACATATCCGTGATGCACAACAAACATATGACATAACACGTTCTGATTCGCCGGTGTCCATATCCGCACAGAATAATTTCACTTTTGGGGCAAGGGCACAATGAAGGATAGATGAACACAACTTTATTATATATCTTAACCATGTATGTATTGCTTGTAATTTATATTCTCATCAAGTAACATGAAACAAATGATACAACAGACAAATTATATAGAGAAGAACAGGACAATCTTGATATATTACTTTAGATGATAAAATGAACTTTAACAGATCAATGCATGGCTTATATTCAATACACAATAAACAGCACAATACTAGCTTCTCAGCTCCAACATATTCACAGTGCTTCATAGAACACTTAGTAGAGCAGCAATTAGTGAAACAGAGAAAGTCTTATAGTCAACAGTAATCAAATCAAAGTCCATTACAAGTCATTCTTTAATTAATTAATTCATAAACATAATTGAAGAAACCAACTCCAACTAGTGGCTTCTAAGAAGAAAAACAAGGTTAAATCATCCAAAAATAATAATCATATAAAGCTTTACTCATCTGATAGAGTTCAATTGTCATCAGCCATGATAGTGGTAAACAATGAACGCTCTCACATAAGAACACCATTATGTTCAAATATAATCTCAACAAACAGATAAACATGCAAACCAATAAATTTCAATTTTAATACAGAAAAATAAAATTAGTATATGTCTTGATTATTAAATTTTATGGAAGGAATAACTGAAAACAATCTAAATGCAATTAAGGCAAACCAATGAAAATGGTCTTTTATTAAGCATACATACTGAATAAGAAGATCGACACCAGATGGTCACATGAGCATGCCCTTGCAACAATTAAGGCTATCTTCAACCGAACAGCATTCTCTAGTTTGCATTAGCCACAACCGTCCAAACAAACGGCAAATCGAACAATATGACACCAATATTAACATCGCAATGCTCACATCAGAGAAAAAACACAAAATGAGTTCCTTTTTAAGTTCAACAGGAGACTTGCAACAACTAAATAGTTGATAGGCGAATGAAATTTAGTTCAGTTGAAGATGCCCTAATGCAAGATACATTTAACCCAGTCAAATTAATACATAGCCTTCAACCACCTTATTTAACACAAACAACAAATTGAAAGTTTCAATAATTAAAAAAAAAAAACAATCAACAAAAATAAACTACATCATCAACCTTCATGATAAGTACTTGTTCAACTGCAGCACCACTTGAAAAAAAATTATGAAACAACTTAAATCTGGATATCATAAGCAGTAAAAAATTCATCAAATCATCTATAACAAAGAATTGATGATATAAATTATTAAATTTAGAGTAAGCATATGTGAAGTATGGCATTACTATATTTAGAATTTGAAAGGCATAATTCTCATTGTTTCTACAATTAACAGCAATGCACATAGAAAATCCAACTTGATTATCATTACTAAATCAATAAGGAAATACAACAAAAAAACTATTCATTGAGTTTCAAATAACTAAATTGGCATTGGGCTGAAACATACTAACACCACATATTAAATATTCAGATTGACTGTGGCAATCAGATAAGATAAGTTGATCTAACCTTAAGGACAATTTAGAACATTTAAGAACTGAGGTCATAATATATAGGGTCAAGGAAAATCCCCAACAAATCAGAAAGATGCTGATCAATAGGCATGCATACAAAGTAAAAGAATACCAAACAAAAAAAAAAGATTTTCCAAATATTAAGAACTACCTTAGAGGTTTTTTGGTAGCACCAAGTTTTGATTTAAGATTTCATAAATATGCTAAATCCAGATTTCGAAAATACTTAGGGGCCTAAATTCTAAAAATTGTTTAATAAAATTCATGATAAATTCTATTAAATCTCATATGATTATTTGGCTATAGAGCAAATTTAACAAGCAGACTCTTCCTCTTGAGCCAATGAATTTCATAAATCAGGCAAAAAATAGGATTTCGGAAATCCAAATCCGAGCACAAAAAGGCGGAATTTTCTATCTATGGCAACTTTCATTTGACTTGAGATTTGCTTTTATATTTTAGGCCATTCGGCTGGATTTCACTCAAATCCTGCTACCAAACAATCCCTTAATGTTTATCAATAGCTCATTGAATATAGACACTTGTCTTTTGTCATGAAAAGTAATAGTGAAGGTTCTGATTCTCAATCAATCACACATCATCTCCAAAATATAGAACAAAAAAACACTATCTTTTTTACTTCTTTTTTTCTCATCGGCATATTAGTCAACATATCTGGACTTACTAGCCTCATAGACAGAATAGTTCCAACTTCGAATCAAAAAGGTGGATCGATGGCTGTAACAAACAGATCAACAAAAAAGTAAAAGACACCAACAATACCATCAAGTCAGTACTTTTCAGCTAACAGTAACCTCATCAGCGCATTTTACAAAAGATAGCTTAAGACAACACCCAAAAATGACTAAGAACACAAACTTTCATTAGCATTTCTACCATAGCACAGAACCATTATATCATCATTCACCCTTTACCACCTTCCACATCACCTCCTCATGCGACCTAATCTCACTCCACAGATACCTCCGTCGACGAACTCACCTTGGGCGGTCGTCCCCGTCCACGTTTGGGCCCCGTCGGCGTTATCCCAGCAATCTCCGGCGCAGAATCGCCATTGGTATTCGAACCCTTTGGCGGCCTACCTCGCTTCTTCCCACTAGAAGCAGAAACTGGTTTATTTTCCTTTGCAGGCAAACTGCGCTGCTTCGTCGATTGAAGCTCAGGCCCTTCAGGAACATCTGGTTTAGGCTTCGGAGGGCGACCTCTACCGCGCCGTGGCTGAGCGTCGGTATCGGGCTTCAAATAGTTGTTGTTGACGAACAAAAGCTTGCCGGACTCCTTCAGTTTGGCAAGCGATTCGGAAAGCACAGCAGAGTGGTCTTCCGGTAGGCGGTCCCCGTAAGTGGCCTCAATTTGTTTTGAAATCGCCAGTTTGCTGGACCCATCTTTCTCGCCCAGCTCCGTAATGGCGCCTAGTATCATCTGTTGCAAGGAAAAAAGATTAATTTTTTTACTTGATTTGAGTAGAGATTAGAAAATGGAGTAAAAGTTCCGATTTTTAGATGATTTCGATTACCTCGTAGTAAGCAGGATGGGAAGCAGCCTTGTTCTCCTCCTCGGCAGTAGCCATTGAGGAATGTGGACTGCACCGAGTAGAGAAAGATTAGATAAAAGATTCGGGCTTTGAACCAAGGAAAAGAAATGGTTCAAGCGGGGGAGATTTTAAAAGGCGGAATTGGAAGGATCGATGCTAAAAATAAAGAAATAATCAAATAAATATCTTTATATATATTTTCTAGTGCGTCTTATCAGACTGAGGGGGGAACGGCTGAGATGTATCTGTGTAGTGTTCATCGGATGATGGAAAAGTATTAAGGGAGAGCACCCGGATTGCTTACGTGGGAGGAAGCCTGAAAAAACTTTTTCATTTTTATTTACGAAGCTGACATTGCTTGTTGGTTTAGTCTTTAGGCTTGGATTAGGGGTGCAACCGAGTCAAGCTGACTCATGAGCTGGCTCGGACTAGACTCGGTAGCACGAGTTGAGCTTATCGAGCTCGCGAGTCGAGCTTGAAGGCTTATCGAGCTCTAGCTCAAACAAGCCTCGTACTCGACTAGTCAGCTCGACGAGCAGCTTGACGACGGAGCTTGCGGGAGAGAAATCTAAATCCACGGAGCAGGCGAGCGGGAAATTCAAATCTAAGGATTTGGGACGCGGGACCTCGACGATCTTGCGAGCAGGAAATCCAAATCGCCCATCATTTTCGACTATGAGTTGAGCAGGAAATCAAAATCATAATCCACTGAATAGGCGTCAGGACGACGTCGCTGGAATTCGGGAAGATGACGAAGAAGATCTGGATGACGACACCCTTCATTTTTTGACTGCTAGCTCGAGTCCTCAGGACGACATCGCCTGAGTTCGAGAAGAAGGCAGACGTGATGATGAGCTCGGGACGAAGGATTTCAACGGCGAACCGGCGGTGGTTGGGAAGAGGATCTAGACAGGGATGAGGGATGACATCACCGAAGTTCGGGAAGAAGACGGACGCGACAACGAGTTCGAAAGCGGAGCTCGGACTGAGCTCGACGAGACGCTCGACATGAAGACGAGTCCAGCTTGAGCTTGGATTTTGAGCTCGACTCGAGTTCGAGCTCGAGCTCGGTATTAGACAATCGAGCTCGACTCGAACAGCCCCTGGCTCGAGCTCGACTCGACTCGTTTACACCCCTTGTTTGGATTAATTATTATATGCGAATGTCGAATGCCGTCTGAAGATCAACCATAATATGTCATGTCACCTCTATGTTTGGTATCATTCTGTACCGCGGCTCGATACCGTTGACATGACGCATTCTAGTTGATCTCCGGACAACGTTCTACGTCAGATTTGAGGTGTTTATCCAAATGGGATTTATAGACATAAAACTTAATTATTTTTTATTTATATATTTAAATTTTTATATACAACCTTGCATCTATTAACTTCTCATCAATGTGTGTTCTTCAGTTCTTTTACCACCTTTTGTCTCAAGCTACGTAAAATATAGTATCTCACCCTCTGTAATAGCTGACTTCAGGTACTTCTCTCATTATGGATGGAGAACTATAACATTAAACTTCTTAGGTATTTCTCTCATTTCTTATTGGCTTAAATTGTATTATACTCTTAGTTGTGTTAGTGTTCTTATTGCAGAAGGTAGATCTCTGTTCGTGCTTCTTTCTTCTGTCCTACTTCATGCTCCTATTCATAGAACCCTCAATCACTTGTGAAAATAGAATTGGCTAATGAACCGGAAAAAGAAGAGATTTACTAATAATATTATTAAATCGATTGAGGTACGTCGAAACAAATGACGTAATAGATAATATTATTATTAAGATTAATAAAATGAACATAATAATATAATATTTTAATCTTAAACCTCATAATTCTATGAACTTAAAATTTATACTTACACAACTCTCCTTGGCCTATTGGTTGAGAGCTTAGGCTTCCAACTAAGAGGTTCAGGATTCGAGTCTATGTGTATGCGTTGTGTGTGTGAGTTTGCCTTTAATGGCCTAAATGTCCCTAAAAAAAAAAAATTATACTTTTCAACAGATTATCACATATTATCTTTCAATATAATTAAACTATTAAATAATTTAATTAAATTGAAATAATGAATATAATTATATAATATTTATATTTAATAAAAATTTAATTTAGATACAAATATATATAAATATTTGTTAATTTGTTATGTATTTAGGTATAATTTACACCTATAATATATATATGTGGGTATGGCTTGTTAGTGTTTAATAATACATAATAGTTATATTTATGAATATTATTAGGTAAAACATGTTATATTTAAATTAATTTAATATTTTAATAAAATATTTTATATTAAATTATTTAAATATACTATGAGTTGAACCAACGGTTCAAACTGATTCCCACCGATTTGATTTGGATCAGTTTTTCAGGAGGACCGAATAGGCCAACAACCGGTTCATTGTTAGTCGAACCGACCGGTCCAGACCTTATTTTTCAAATCTATAGCTTCAACAGATATCTTCAATCCTACATTACTCTATATGTATGCTTATCTTGCCTGCTCTACTCTAAATTTTAATCTTCCTCCAACTCCAATATGGGAACAATCTATTATCTTATATTCTTGTTGCTCATATCGGAAGTATTGGTTTGTTATCAAATAACATTAACATGGATGTCTTGTTTTTTACAATGAACACACCATGGTTTGATATTCACTTGATCATGTCTTAAATTCATTAAACTTGCTTTTCTTTTCACTAAAATTACCCATAATCACCTCTCCCTATGCTCAATTCCCGCTCATGCCTTATCTGAATGAGGAATAACAAAATCATTTTCCACCAACCATAATCTTTCAACAAGTTCTAAAAATTCTATGATTCTTATAGGCACCAATAGATGTCTATAACTCGTCTTCAAGTCCCCTAAAAAATCTGTAACATTTTTCTTTTGTAATATTGATAATTTGATTAGTATATATGGTTAATGTTGTAAATTCAATGATCGGAGGGACCCTAGTCGGCGGATGGCAGTGGTAGAAGACATGCTCGTTAGTGGCTTCCATTTGGAGATCCGACGATGATAGCTGACCAAAGGTTCAACAGTGGTAGTCAGATGGCACGAATTTGTCAGCGGTGGTGCTGAGGTGGAATTCCAAGATTCTTCAAGATTCTGATTGCCCTTCATGTGAAGAAATGGGGTCTATTTATAATTTTTTGGGAGTCACATGCTTAGTAAATATGAAGACGATTTAGGGCAATTCTGGAGTGTTCAATTGAATGACCCATATTGATTCCCTCGATTATAAAGTATTTACGTGTCTTAATGATATCAACATTTGGCTATCTTGGGCTAGTTGGATTCGTCTCGTCAAGCTGCTGAATTCGCTTATCAGCATGTCTTATTCGGATACCATTTGGTCATCCAATTAATATTTTGAAGCTTTTAAATAGGCTTTGGTCCTTTGATTTGAGCTTATTTGGGATCAGGTTAAAATGGATTTGGTGTCATTGGGTTTGTATACTTAAGATATTCAATTTGACTATAAGCTTGTTGAAATCAGAGTTTGGATGGTCCAGAAATTAATTCTGAAAGTTTCCAATTCAGATTTGCATCAAGATTCATGTCATATCAAGGCAATTTTTGGTGACATATCAAGTCTTATGAATGCCCCCCTGCATCTGGCATCGTGCTAATAAACAAACTAACCAATCTCTAAAAGTACTTACAAATTCATCACTTAATCTAGGAGTTATTGCCTTGGAACTTTTCTCTTTGTCATCAAACCCACCATCTTTTAGCTTCTTCAAATAAAATAAAATAAAATAAAAACTACCAATAGAACTTTAATATTATCTGGACATTCCCTGCTATTAAATATATCTCATTTATAATTATAATAGAGTGATTGATGGAACACATGTAAATGCTCGAGTTCCAAATAGCTAGAAGATGGCATACATCGGATGATGTGGTTCACCAAGAAAGAATATTATGACAGTGTGTGACTTCAATATATGTTTTTCTTTTACTATGTTAGAGCGGGAATGAAGTGCACATAGCATCAACATATTCAAGTTTGATACTGTTATAGATAAAATAACTTTCTTATGCCACCTTCTTGCTAGTTGTTTATAATAAGAAGGTTAATAATAGTAAACTATTTGTTAAAACGGTGTATATTTTGAAATACGTAAAATATTATCTTGTGGATGTTGGGTGTCCGATGCAAAGGGTGGTTCTGAAGTCAGTTTAATATACAAACAATTATATTTTTTTTATTTTCAAAGAGAAAGCCAATTGGTACGTGAGAGACAATAATTATTTAACAAGCGTCACTCTTCATTACGAGGTATGATTACGAGATCATTTGGTGTTTGAAAGAATAAGTGGATAAAACAGTATGATATGCCAACATATTCATTCAAGAAAAAAGTACAAATAGTGCTAGCTATAATGTCATTACATAATTACATACGTCGTTATCCTTCTCGAGATGATCCAAAACACTATGTTTTAGATACTGATTAATCATATATACCTTCATTAACGTATAAGTATCGAATTGGTTGGTCATTATTAGATCACAAATAAGAGTAACCAAATTATGAGGCTCCGAAATAGCGAATGTGTTGAGGAGATGATACAATTAGGAGAATAAAATCACATATATATATATTAATGAATGAGATGAATTAGAAATCACTTTAAACTCAAACTTTTCTAGATGTATTGTTCATATGTTGTGCTAGTTGAAGGAGGTTTATGATCAGATCATTATTTTCTTATTTTTGTTACTGTTATTATTTGAATTTTTTGGACAGAAATATTTTTTAACGTTATAATTTAATCATAAATAGTCACATAAAATGTGTTATTTTTCTTCACAACAAATAAATTCATTATGAGGTAAATTTTCAATAAGTCTAATTATTTTTAATTTATTTTAAAATATAATGGTATATTTTAATAAAAAAAACTATAGCGCTTCAACATTGAATTTTTATAAAATATTTGCTAAAAACATTCAAGTAAAAATATGTAGAAATAATAGTCTATTACTGTGTTCATTAAAAAAAAAAATTTGTATATATAAATAATTTTTATTTTGCTCAATACATATGAGAGTATTAATATAATTTGATCCCATACAGATGTAGCGCAAAAATAATTATTATTTTCCAAAGAAAATATATGATTTATTTACAACAACATCACAGCATTCTCTACAATAGCTTACAACTTCACAAGCTGTTTTATGAACAGTCATTTAAAATGAATTCTTAGGTTCTGATTGGAATAGCTTAATTTCATTTAGAGGCTATTTGGTTGTCTGAAAAATGAATACAGTGTAAAACGAATGTGGTGTAAAAATAATACTTTAGAGTTATTTGGATGAGTGTAAAATGAATGCATGACTTTTTATTTGTTTGGTTTAAATTGTAAAAATGTTGTGTCCGGGGTGGTCGAAAATGGCCGACGTTGAAGGCTGACGGTGGCGGTGGGAGGTGACAATGACTGTGACATGACGGTGGACTATTGGGCGACGCGACGGTGGACTGCTGGGCGGGGTGGCGGTGGGCAGCGAAAGTGGTGGCCGATGACTGGAAGGCGATGGTGGCGGCTGATAACGAGGTGACAATAGCCGTCAATGGCGGTTAAGAAAGCTTTAAAGTGGTGTAAACAAGTTTCACTTAAAACTGGACTAGAACGATTTTTCTCAAAAAATAAATTAGAATGGAATACACTTGATTTACTATACTTATTTTGTATTTATTTTTCATCCAATCAAACACTAACAATTTTAAAACCATTGTATTCACTCTATTTTATGGGTGCGAACGAGTCGAGTCGAGCTCGAGAGTGGAAAAAAGCTCATCGAGTGACAATTCGAGCTGCTCGTATTGCGTCCATCGTGACAGCATCCACATTGTCGTCCCCAGCGTCCGCGTCGTTGCTGCTAGCGTCATTCGTCATCGCTCCAGCATCGCATTGTCGCCATCGTTCGCGTCGTCTTCGCTAGCGCCAATCGCCGTCGTCGCCAGCATCAGTTGTTAGCAACTCAACATCCAGCTCAAGCGTTAATGTTTGCCATTTCATTTTCCCGTTGGCAAGATTTGAACAATTCATTTTCCCGCCTCCGCCAAATCATCGAGGGATGTTCGAGCTCGATGAGTTGTCAAGCTTGTTACCAAGTCAAGCCGAAGTCATCTCGCGAGTCAGGTTGACTCGATTGCACCCCTATTATACTTTACGAGAAATTATTATGTTCTGACATCAGACATTTTGTAGGCGAATCAAAATACACCATGTCAATCAATACACAACCGCTATACACAACAAGAGGGGGATATGACGCATTCTAATTTACCTCCAAAGAGCCTCTGTATCTACCGAGAATAATTTCACATACTTTAAATATCTACAAAGAATAATTTCACCTACTTTACACTCACTCAATTTCTACTTTCTAAATATATATTTTAAAACTTTTATAATAAAAATAACAAAATTATTTTTTCAATAACAGAGTATTTAGATTTTATTTGGGACAATTTTTTTTTTGGACAACTTTAAAAATTTTAATACAATTTCTGTACTGAATAATTACGCTTTTCTCGAAGTGGCCGTCACAATGAACTTCTATGCTGTATAAAAGAAATACATGGGGTCTCGTCACTTCTCTAGTTCTCAAGTTTCTGTCGGCTTCCATTCTTTCTCTCTCTCTCATTTCGAGCCCCATTGGATAGCTTGCTTTCAGCTAGGGTTTCCAAAATATTTCTCATCGTCTCGGCCGCCAAGATGGGTATTTGGGACTCGTTTCTAAATTGGCTTCGAAGGTAATCTCCTCCACCCGCCTTCGCTTTCTAATGCGTTACTGTTATCTGGTAGGGAGCAATTGATCTTGTTAGAGTTGTGGGTTTGAGATTGCCGCTAGTAAAGGAGCTCTTGCTCATTGGTTTAGGTTCCTGTTCCTTTTTATTGTTATATGAGGACATCCTTGTGAGGAGCGAGCGGTGAGGTTTTGATTTCATTTTTTTAGCTTTGTTTTTTTACGCACTTGATCTATTTGCTTTTCCGCAAAGCGAGGGGACGGAGCCAACCAATTCATGAACTAGAAGATAGATTCTTTTTTGTATGAAGATTGAATTAGGACTGAATTGTTACTTGCACTGAATTCTGAGATGTATTTGGTATTAATGTTAGGGAGTGGGTTTATGGATTGCAATTTTAAGGATTAATTAAATTCAAATCCCTTAATCACTTCGTCCCCTAATCCGATGTGCAAGGGTTAATTTTAAGGGTTAAAAGAGTTCTGTGCCTTGCAAGGGTTAATTTTATATCTGTTTTATTTGGTTTTGAATTTCTGATTAAATAAAAAAGCTTGAACCTTTTGTTATTATTTTTGAAAGATTTTTATCTTACATTGAACTCTTTCTATCTCATGGTTTACTTTTTAGCCAAAATTTACATCACTTAAAAGCTAGATTTATAATCAGACCTGACCTCATTTCCTGGTTTACCCTCTCAGCCATGCACACAACAAAATCAAGTTCAATGGCATGTTGATTAGGAGATTGCTTCATACTGTATGATTGTCAATTATGCTCTTTTGTGATAGAATTTTGATTAACATGTTTAATCAACATTCACTGTTGATCATGGCCACTTCATTTACTCAATTCATGTGGATTAATAACTAGAAATTATTAAAGTGTTAAGGTAGCTTTTATTTTTGTAGAAGGGCACAATGAGTAAAATAATAATTTATCTTGTATATTGATCTAGAAAAGTGAAGTTTATTTAGTTTTGAAGAAGACATAAATTAAAAGCGTTAGATTCAAATAAGATACCTATGTTTATCTAGATAACTTTGAAATATCTCTCGGATATGCTAGTCTTTAAATATTTAATATTTCATTATGTTTTTTATGTGGTCTTGTATATCCTTCACTGGATAAATTATTTATTTTCTGTCTTTGCTATGTTGTAGTCGGTCTTAAGATGTCTACCTTAGAGGGGTTTTTTGATGTAATTTTTTATGACCACATCCAAGTTTGCTGGGCTCCATTCGGGGGTGCATGGAGGTTGCAAAAGCTGCAGGTTGTAGACAATTCCCCATAGCATGAACAGTAGGGAAAAACATGGTCTTGCCTTGGTGATGAACGCTCTTTGAGGCTGCAGTTGTCCTGTTAATGGTTAAGGAACCAGTGGTTCTTGATGCATATCCAAATTGAACTTTAACAAATAAGTGAATGCCGATTTATATCTGCTTTTTTCTATAAGTTAGGAAATATCAACTTGTTTTCTTAGCAGAAAAGGAATTGGCTCTTTAATTTTAATATCCAGAGTTGATTCTTGCTCCATACCAATTAATGGTTAAATATCTTTTTCTAGTTCTAATTAGGACATTCCGCAGCTTGTTCTTCAAGCAGGAAATGGAACTCTCACTTATTGGACTTCAGAATGCTGGAAAAACTTCGCTTGTCAATTCTATTTCTGTGAGTTGACTTGAGTTTGATTTTTGGTATTGATGTATTTTGCTGTAACTTACATGAACTGAGTTCTATTTTATGTTTCCAGACAGGTGGATACAGTGAAGACATGATTCCAACAGTATGTGCCATTACCTCAGGAAATTAAGGGTTTTAAAACTTTTCTATTTGGTGTTTTCTGAAGCTAGTAAAACTGATTTTTGTCTCTGAAATAGGTGGGTTTCAATATGCGCAAAGTTACAAAGGGTAATGTGACCATAAAGCTCTGGGATCTTGGAGGACAACAGAGGTTCCGCACCATGTGGGAACGGTACTGTCGTGGAGTATCTGCAATCATGTAAGTCTGACGAAGCTGACTGATGTTCTTCCTGTAGAGCATAAATCTGAACTTTGAAATTTATTTTACTCAGAAGTAAAATGATTAGATTTTGGGGAGCATGTTGAATAATGCTATGTTCCATTTTTAAGGGCTAACAGTCATATAGAGGTTTTGAGGGAACACAGCCTAGCAGAAAAAAATAGCATGTTGAATGACGCTATGTTCCATTCTGTATATCTTGCAAGTTATTTGATACTTGTCGAAGTCGTCATGTTCATTGCACATCCTTGTAATCTTTGCCATCATCTCGAGTTGCCAAATTGCATTGGATTTTGTAATCATTTTTGTGAATGAATTGGCAAAAGTTTAGCATATCAACTTGCAAGTTCTTTGTGATTTGTAATGAACTTGATATCATCATCTACTAATATTTTTATCCCATTGAAATAACAATTTCCCAATATTCCATTGAAAATATTATGTTTATTGTTCAAATGGGTATGCATTTTTTTTAGATTAGAACGCGAACACTAGAAAGAACTTAGCGGGCGCCTCTGTTTAAAATTGCACAATAAGAGGCGTGCCTCTGCGCAATTCTGTCCAAAAGCGCCTCAAGGCGCATGCAATTTCGACACTGATTGAGGCGTACGCCTCACCCTATGCGAGGCGCGCCTCAATTGCGCAATTATGGGTGAGGCGTACGCCTCATCCAAATGGTCTTCCTTATACCCACTTAATCATTAAAAAAGCGGATGAGGCGTCCGCATTGAGTCGTGTATTCGCGTATAGGATTAGGGCTTCCTGTTAGAATTGAAAGGCGAACTAGAGGCGAAGCTCATTTAAACCTATATGCTTACAAATACATGCTAAAATCCTTAAATTTTAATTTACGCAATTCTGCATCCGTGAGGCTTACGCCTCAGACCGCCTCGAGGCTTACGCATCGCCTCACGGACGAAAACCGCCTCAAGGCTTATTTACGCAATTTTAAACCTTGGCGGGCGCTAGCGCTATATTGTTCACTTTTGTCAACTGAAGTCGCGCTACGCGCCAACTCAAAACTAACTGATAGTTGATAGAGGAGAGCGCGGAGCCCCTAGTCTAAGCTAGCAGAACCGTTTGTTTATACTGTCATACTACTCAAATCAAAGAAAAAAGTACCAAGAATGGCATTGTATTGTACAACTACTTTTTGCTAGTGAAAAAGGTAATCGAACCTGTAGGTTACTTTTTGAATCAACAGTAGTGACGAAAGGGGGAAATAGCTCAGTTGGTTAGAGTGCTGGTCTGTCACGCCAGAAGTCATGGGTTCGAACCCCATTTTCCCCGCCCAATCCTCCTACTTTTTCCTGCTCGACCCATTGTCTTCATTGGAAGCTGCTGATCCTGGTGTAGCAAAAAAGACTCTTCTTCTTTCTTCGGTCTCCCCCCACCCCCTCGTTTGTTGGGTTGTTCAACTTCGAGTTAGATTCATATTCAGTATTCTCCACAAGTTCGTTTAGCATTTGCTCGTTTATTATTTAATGACTTATGAATCCATTTTATTGATTTGAGTATAATTTAGTGCTTTAAGCTCCGTTCCCTGTGGTTCAAATCAAATCATCTGTTTAGTCCAAGTCTTTGTTATTTTCAAAAAAAAAAATTCGGCATTCTCCCGGCATATCCCCCATTTAGGGGAAATTACAGGAAATTGAGCATTCCCACCACGCTAAGAAAAGTGTGTATGATAGATGTCCGTGGACACCACAGCCAGTCTTCATTCCCACCACGCCAAGAAAGTTGTGTATGGGGCCTCCAAAAATACTATTTGAAAATTTTGGCATCCTCCCGCCCCATTTTTGATGTTTGCAGCGCACAGGAAAATTGCTCATACACGCTTTTTTTAGCGTGGTGGGATAGGAACCCAGTGCGATGTCTACAACGATGTGGAGGTACAAATAAGTACTCATATGCAGGGAAACAACTCCGTTTTCAAACATGTATTTTTGAAGGCCCTATACATGCCTTTCTTGGCATGGTGGCACGGTTCTACGAACACCTACCATTCACACTTTTCTTAGCATGGTGGGACGGTCCGGTTTCGTGTAGTTTTTCATAAACGTGGGAGACGTCGGGAGGATGCCAAAATTTTATCTCAAAATGAAAAGGACTTAGACTAAACATATGGCTTGATTTGGACCATATGGAACATAACTTAAAGCATTAAATCATACTCGAATCAATGAAATAAATCCATAAGTCATTAAATAATAAACGATCAAATGCTAAATGAATTTGTGGAGAATATTGAATATGAACATAACTCGAAATTGAATAATACTAAGATAAATGAGCAATAAAGAATTTCATTTGAACAATAACATAATATTTCTAATAGAATATTGGGAAATTATCATTTCAATTTGGATAAAATATTAGTAGATGATGATATCAAATTTATTGCAAATCACACAGAACTTATTAGTTGATATGCTAAACTCTTGCAAATTCATTCATAAAATGATAATAAAATCCAACGCAATTTGGTGACTCGAGATGATTGCAAAAACTATAAGGATGTGCAATGAACTTGATGACCTCGACAAGTATCAAGTAACTTGCAATATATACATAACAAATCAGTAAAATCCTTTATTTTGGAGCAAGGTACCCTGATACTGATCCAAAACCCGATACAGTCATCCTCAGCCTTTTCTACATGAGGATATTTGCGATCAAATTTTGACAGAAGTTAAAAATTGTGAATGAAACCACAGTTGTATTTTCCATCTCATGATCCAATGTTCAGCAACAGGCAATGGAAATATGTCTTAACAATAATCAAAGCATATTTTATTTTACCCATGTATGAGCACATTTGAAGATAATATTAGAGAGAGTCGCCTTAGATGATTTGGTCACATAAAACGGCGGCCTTCCGATGACATGGTTAGGAAAGTAGAGATATTAGATTTTGACTTATGTTAAGAAAGATAGAGGTAGACCTTAAAATACTTCGTTAGAGAATATTAGAAATAATCTTTCCTTATTAGATTTAAACGAGCATTTTACTTTTAACAGGACACAATGGAGAAAAAAGATTCATGTAATCGACCCTATGCAGTGGGACTAAGACTTGATGTTGTTGTTGTTGCATGTAAGAAGAACAAATTTGCTTCACTGACTTTAAGAACTGGCCTGCAATCTTTTAATCTATCAATAAATTTGGTTAATACGGTTGGTATGAGATTTCAGATTCTTGCTTTTGCTTACACTGCTGCAACTGGCAGATATGTGGTCGATGCTGCTGATCGAGATAGCATTCCCATAGCCAGAAGCGAACTTCATGAGCTGCTGATCAAACCTTCACTTAGTGGAATTCCTCTTCTTCTTCTTGGTAATAAGATTGACAAATCAGAAGCTCTTTCTAAGCAGGCAGTAGTTGAGCAGATGTAAGTATGAACTTTTTTGGCCTCGTCTCTTTATACCCGCAATGTAAGTTTAATAATTCCTCGGATAAAATTCCCAGTTTCTGAAACTTTTTTTTTTTGTTTTGAATTTCATCTTTTAGATCTCTGTGTGATGTAGCTATATGCTTTACAATCCAAAATTAGGCTGTCGAAATAGAACATAAAAAGAAAAAAAAAATAATACACAAAACACAATAATTTTATAAAGATTCATCGAATTGATGATTGAATTCTATAGCCATCACTATCAATTTGATTATATTTTGATTGTGAAGAATTATAAATCCTATGAATATAACATAAAAGGTGAAGCCTCCAAAGTTGGATTAATTATTCTGTGCGGACGCCGAACGTCTTTCGAAGACCAACCAGAATGTATCTCGTCACCCATATGCTCGGTACCGCGGTTCAGTATCGTTGACATCGCGCATTCTGGTTAGTCTCTGGACGACGTTCTGCATCCAATCTTCGCACAAAGACACTGCGACTAAATGCTCGACAACATAACAGTATTCTGACGGGTTTTGTGATCCAGGGGCCTTGAGCTTATAAAGGACAGGGAGGTTTGCTGCTACATGATCTCATGCAAAGAGTCAATCAACATAGATGTTGTCATGGACTGGCTTATAAAGCACTCAAGGACTGCAAGATGATAATCACCTGTTTGGTTCTCTTTCTTTAGTAAATAATGAGATGGGAAGTCTTGTGAAGGTATCTTTGAAGCATAACACTGCAGCATTTGTGAGGTAAATTATCCATTTCATTTATAAATCAGTCATGTTTTGCTGTATATGCAAATTTCTTGATGTAAAAATTATGATTGTTTATCAAATCCTTAGAGAGAGAGAGAGTGAGTGAGAGAGAGAGAGAGAGAGAGAAGCTAGAGTGAGAGAGAAGTAATATGGCAGTACCAGCAATCATTTATGCAATGTCAGCATCTGGTAGGATGTTTTTCTATCTTGTTTTTTAATTATTTAGTTTTTTTTGTAATAATGAAAATGATTTTTTTACAATCTTTTTTAAGTTAGGGGCTCTTTAGTTTGATTTAAAAAAATGCAGACTAAAAGGAATGCAATGTGCTGGTGGGCTGGTCACCTGATAGAGGGATCTCTCTCTGTCTACAGTAAAGCGCATGTAAAGCGCAGGTATGCTACAGTACCTGTGCTTTTACTGTAGACAGAGAGAGATCCGAACGGATCTCTCTGTCAGGTGACCGGATGCAATAATTTGCCGTGACTGACAGACAACAATGCAATTAGTTTGCAGTGAAGAAAAAAAAATTGGTCAAAATTGGGAGTGCAAAATATATAAAAAAAATGAAATAGGCAGAGATAAAATTGATTTATTAAATTTTATATTGTATTTCCTTTTCATTAAACTAATTTTTTTTTCATCAAATTTTTGCATTTGAAAGATTTTATATTCTTTTTTCAGCAAATTAAATGATCCCTTAATAAAAAATTGTTAGTCAAACTTGTAAAGCCCCTATTTTTCTTTATTAATTTACTTTATTTTCTACAGCTGAAATATTATATTTATTTAAAAAAAAAAGTCTGCTTGTTTTTTTTTTTCAATTTAATTTATTTCAAAATTTGAATAATTTTTATATTAAAATAAAAATAAGATTTCCATTAATATATGATGCATAGAGTATCAATATAAAAGACATTAAATGAGGCTTTTTTGGTTGATTGATCAATTTAAGTTCTTTGAGTTCTCAATTGAAAGCATAATACTAAGAGGACTAAATTAAGGACGTTTAGTCATTTCATTAAATATTTATATATTTAAATATTTATCTACATAACTTGTTTTATATATTATTTTATAAGCCAATTTAATATTTAAATAACATCAAGTAAATATAAGATGTATTTTATTTTAAATAAATTAAAAAAAAAAAAAAAGCCCACCAACACTGAACAAAACATTTTTTTTAGAAATATTTGATCTCCCAAGTTAAAATCTATTTGCATGCAAATTAAATTTCCACAAATGATAGAAATAGTTATTGCTGCAGAAAAATCTCTATATTTAAAGCAACTGCTCCTTTCATTTATCAGATTTTATTTGGAATAACTTTTTTATTCTTTTATAAAATTGTTGTACTAAAAATAACATTTTAAAGTTATTGTAGAAAATAATTTTCTAGTTAAAATTTTTTTGAAAGCAAACAAAAAAATAACGACTAAATAAAAATTATTATTGCAATTTGAAAAAAATCAAAGCATTAAAAAAAGTATTCAAAACAAAATTTTAATTGTCACTTGATACTAACAAATGTAGAAAACATGTAAATTATATGAAAAAATCAACCTCAAACACAAGCAATCAAATGTGTTCTTATAATATTATATCAAATTAGAAAGAAATAATATAAGTTTACATGATATACAAATCTTATTATGAACAACACCTCTCTCTTTAACCTTCCAAATTTCAAAATACCATTAATGCATCCCCCTTACCAAATCTACCTCATCATTTCAAAATTTCCCCCACTGAAATGATCTAAAAAAAATAAAACTTAGAATAAATCTTTTAATTATTTACATCTCATGGATCAACCATACAAACTTATTATAGCACATTACAACACATTATGACCTCCTAAAGAGACCTAAAGCTACTATATCAAACACAGTATATGACATCAAAACTACATATATAGAGCTTCCCCATTCAGCTTATGGCTTGACCCTATTATAAATAGATAAAGGGGATATCTTCTCATGTAGGATTGTGAGCCAGTTTTGGGTGAGTAGCTGCATAGATGGAGGAGTTTGGATCAGTCTGTAGGTGAGTGAAGAGATGCTGGACATCTGGTCTGAGGAGTTCCATAACTTTACCACACAATGTCAAAATCTCTGGCTTAGGTTTGCTACTAGTTTGAACTGGTCCTCCTTGCCCCTCATACATAACTGCATGGTGCCTGTGAGACAAAAATATTTTAACTATTTTGGATGCCATAATTATGAAAAAGTTAAGCACTTTGATGGTATTTTGCCTTACATGAAGTCTATCAGGTCTCTTATCTCTGATGCATCCACAGGAGTTGCAGGCTGAGAGTTCTTTCCAAAGACATCCGCCATCACATTGAATAGAAGAGCTAAAGTCTTAACATCATTGGAATTTGAAGTTAGAACATTTTTGCACCAAAGAAAAAAATAATAATAAAATTTGATAGGAATCAAATTATCCATTCACAAGACTCATTCACTCAATTGACCATGTAGATATGCAATGATCTGTGATGAGTTATTACTTCAATGTATGCATTAAAAATAAGCTACACTGAAAACCCAAACTAAATTATTATGCTATCTTATCTATAGGATAAGATTGTAAGACTCATTATTGCCCTTTTCTCATCCTCGACATTGTAAGTCTCATTCATGGGGTTTCCAATAGATGCAAGCCCACCCCGATTAATTTAGGTTGATAAAAGCCAACAAGCTATTAAATCAAGACTTAGGCCCTTTTGTGGATATAAGCTCCAACCCAACCTAAACATAGGCCAACTCCTATACTAACAAGCCTACAAACCAAAATCAAATTCCAACAACTAAGACTACAAAACAACTAACAACATCAAGCCTTTATCCCACTATGTGGTATCAGATTGCACAGATAAAAAATCACAAGGTCATGACACGCTTCTTCAAGTCAAAACACAAATTCATGACTAAAAAATGATCATGCCATGTATCCAAGCTCTTATCGGTCATGCCCCAAAACTCAGAAGCACAAGTGAACATGCTTTATGCTTTTAAGCTATTTAGTGAAACTAGTATGACCAGAGTGATGGTGAAATAAATGTGGATATTATTAGTAGAATTCAAATTGAATGGCTGAAGGGAGGAATGCATCGGACTTGTTCTGTGATAGAAAAGTATCCCCTCAAACTTAAGAGGAAATTCTATAAGATGGTGGCGAGACATGCAATGCTTTATGGCGCATAATGTTGGCCATTAAAAGAAACATAATACCAAGTTAAGTGTTATAGAAATGAGGATGCTTAGGTGGATGAGTAGCTTTACTCTTAGAGATAGGATACAAAATGAGCATATTCGTGAAAAGGTTAGAGTAGCTCCAATGGCAGATAAGATTATAGAGAGTCACCTTAGATAGTTTGGTCACATAAAATGACGGTCGGCCGAAGACCCAATTAGGAGAGTAGATGTATTAGATTTGGCTTATGTTAAGGTAGATGTAGACCTAAGAAGACTTAGTTAGAGAATATTAAAAATGACATTTCTTTATTAGATATAAATGAAAATTTAATTCTTACTAGGGCACAATGGAGAAAAATGATTCATATAACCGACCCCACATAATGGGATAAAAGCTAGATAATTGTTGTTGTTGTTGTTGTTGTTGTTGTAGTGAAACTAGTATGACCAACCCTTTGTTGGTAAACAAGCCAACATCAATCTCAAAAGCATATATTTTTTGACATTACATTTTCACTTCTATCTACTTGGGATACCTATGATAAGGAAACCCAGTGTTGCTAATTAGAATCCCTACATTATGGTTCAAAGCAATCAAGCATTGGCAAATTAGATCCATTGGTATCCTCGAGATGACATAATCAAGTGATCTTGATCAGGCCTACCCCCATTACCCTAAGCATTCCTCATAAATAAACCTCAAACCTTAATGCTAAACATGAGCCAAATCAACCTCCTAAATCATAAGTGCTCTCTCGTGAGTTGTAGAGGTAATTAATTATATGAAGGCTTGCACCTATAGAAAGTCTCGACTTCATATGTAAATAAAACTTGATCTAAACATCAAGAAAAAAATTGGTTAATCAAACCTAATATACCTCAAGGAAAACTACACCTAAACTTTCAATCACGAGAATGAGGCTTAAAGGGGAGGAGCTTGATTTATTGAACGATCATTGATTTCTGAATAAGTTTCTTAGATCATTTTTCTTGTTTTTTGGGACTTGGAGTCAAGCTTGTGTAAACTCTTATCTTTGCTTGTAGTCATTATTTTGTAAAACTTGTTTTGAAGTTGAGCTTTTTTGCAATTATCTTGGACTAGTTTTACCTTGTATCTAATGAGACAGAGCTAGGGGGATAAATGAGCTCGTGCATAAATGAATAAAGATTTGTTCGAGTTTGGCTCGTTAATTTTTTTCGTCAGTGGTTGATATTTCTCTACTTGTATTCAATTCATTATAGTTTGATTTGCTTGTGAACATAAGCACATAGAAATAAGCATATAATTACTAAAGAGATTTTATTGTTTTGAATAAAACAACAACAAGCCTTTATCCCACTGTGGGGTCGACTACATGTATCATTTTTCTTCATTGTGTCTTGTTAAAAGTCAAATTCTCATCTAAATCAAATAAGGAAAGGTCATTTCTAATATTTTCTAACCAAGTTTTTTTAGGTCTACCTCTACCTTTATTAATATAAGTCAAATCTAATATATTTACTTCCTAATCGAGTCATCGGAAGGCCGCCGTTTTAAGTGACCAAACCATCTAAGGGACTCTCTAATCTTATCTTCTATTGGAGCTACTCCAACCTTTTCATGTATATGCTCATTCTGCATCCTGTCTCTAAGAGTAAAACTACTCATCCACCTGAGCATCCTCATCTTTGAAACAGTTAACTTAATATTATGCTTCTATTTTTATTGTTTTGAATAAAAAAGAAAAATAAGAAAGAATAAAACTCAACATATAAGGGAAACACATAAAACCATACACGACCACTACAAAATGGTTTAATTTTTGCATTATTTTAACCCTCTATATATATATATATTCTTAATGTTTATAATATATATCTTAACGAGGTGAATACAAATGAACAAAGTTTTGCTTATGCTCGATTTGTTGAGAATCAAGTAGTTGAGCCTAAATAGTATTCTTGCTCATTGTGTTAGTTAACGAATGAGTGAAAAAAGCACTATAGGACAAGCCAAACAAGAGTTACTTAATAAGTTGATGTGGGCTCCGAAAATTCGGCCCCGGCCTCCGCCCGCTGCTTTTCTTTTCTTTTTATTCGGCGAGAGAGTTTTAACGAACTAAGTTCCGGGGTAAATTTTGGAAGGCAGATGTGTTTGTAGATAAGACACTACCCAGAGATTTCGCCCTCATTTTGCGAGGACTTTATGATCTGCGTTCTGGTTTCCTATAGGCGCAAGCCCCTATAGTTAATTACCCCTCCCGATCACGAGAGAGAACTTTCAATTAAGGCTAGTCGTCAATCAGATACGTATAAATACATGTTATCTGGCATATAATAGCAGCATAGGTTTGGAATCTGAGAACTGGATTTGGATTTGTGAATTTGAGAAGTTTGGAAAAGTTTGATATTTAAAATAGGAAATTTCACCACCTAACATTAAAAGCGGATGGTGGGGGAATGGATGATGGGCCCGATCAAGATCCCATGGTTCCGTCGTCCCGGGCCATCGTGGTCCCTGGTCTACTTAGTCAGAGGAGGTAGTCGACCCAACCTGACAGAATGATCCTTGTCGGCAGCCATGGGTTGCTTCGTCCAAGGGAACCTTGTAGACATGGGATGGATATTTGCCTAAGAGGATAAATTTGAATCCACCTTAGCTAACAGAGGGCTTTGTGCCCTATCGATCATATCCTATTGATTCATATCTCAAGGGTTTAACGCCACTAAGGAGCGTACTGGCTCTGGCCATAACCACTATCTGTGGTGCCATTTGACGGCAAAACCACTCGGTTCAGAGGGTCCCGGGTCGTCGTAACCGTTTATCCTGCGGTGTACACCTCG